CGTGAGCGCCGCGTCGCCGTCTAACGGACAAACGATTTTACGAAACCCATAGAAATGTAAACAAAATTGATACACATTTTTAAAATCTTCCTAAAATATTTGATAATCTGATGTGCATATGTTTAATGATCATTTTTGACCTCAAAATAGCTTTTTTTTTTTCTTCTTTTACGCGATCTCCAAAACCGCTATACCTGCCTTCCCAAAAATTTAACCAGTTCTTCATCTTGTCAATACAAGTAAAATTTTATTATTAAAATCGGACGCTCCGTTCTCTTGAAAATTGAGTTACAGTTTTTGGCACTGCCTCTCCTCATTAATAGGAATCGAATGTTTTTTGAATAATTGAAGTCGGTTGAACCGTGTTCCCGAAATTGTCGATGAAATGTGTATCCGCACACACACCCATACATCCATTTTTTCTAATGTATGCCAAAATGTTCAGAAACCTCTGAAACGTAAAGATATATAAAAATTTTCTATTTCGATTTTTTGCGATTACTATAACTTGCTCTACGGGAAGTTAACAAGCAATTATCTGACTATGTTCAGTACAACTCCGAGCTAGTTCATCACTGTGGAAATGTGTTTTCAGCTGTTTTTCAAAAATATTTAACCTGGTTCCTTTTAGGCCCATAGGCGGAGTAAATTGGGACGGCCAAGGACCAAACAGATCCAATATATTATTTTAGTTTCAAAGAGATTTCACAAAATAATGGCTACATTATTCATCCAATGCAAAATATAAGGTCATGAGTTGCTTTTTGAAGAGTTTTTTTTTTCATTCTCTATTATATTTACAACTGTCCAGTTAAGAACATTTAGAAAATTTGTGGAATTTAGAATTGTCAACCGTAATAGGGACATTGTATACTATAGTGACATGTTAGAAAAACAACTCAATAGTTGTTTTTCCATTTGTTATAAATAATTTTAATAATATTTTAATGAAGTTTGTATTAATATAAACATCAACTATTTTCTTGCAAATAATTTCTTATAAATAATAACTAAGTTTCATCCGGAAAGCACATGACTTAAATCCAATGGCGATTTTCTTTTCAGTCTGCGACGATAGTTTTCTGTTATTAAGGAGTTGGCTAGTAAATTTGGGTGACTGATGAGCTTTTTACAGATATAACAGATATAAATAGACTTTATCTGGTATTTCTTCAGAAATATTCATGAGCGGAGTTGGAATGAAAAAGATGTATAACCAGTCACCACTTTGATTATTACGACATAGCTATTGGGAGAAAAACGGCATTTTTTATAAGTCCATAACAAAAGTATTCTTTTTTGTTATCATTTGTTTTGATTGTAAGCACTGTTGCTTAGTTTTACAGCCCTTAATATAAGTTTTAAGTATACTTTATTTAATTGTTTTATAAGATATTGTTAATTTTAAGTAAGATTCAACAGTTTTATTTATATAACCTTTATCAAATCTTACACCTGGGTAGGGTAAAAGGGACCAACTAAACCTTCACCCTGACAAAGGTGTCAAAAATTAAAAAAAGCAAACAGAAAACTAAATTAAGTTAAAATAAACAATTTTGCAATAGAAAAATTAAATAAATACTTATTCCAACTCTGCTGATGAATATTTCTGATAAAATATCAGATCAAGGTTAATGTTATCTCTGTATAAAATGCAGCCAAGAAATTCATATATTGCATTGGTTGAATATTGTGCTATAATTTTGTAAAAATCTTTTAATTTTAAAACAAAGCGTTGGACCTATTTGCTTTATGGCCGTCCCAATTACCGCGCTTATGGAACAAAAAGGACAAGGTTACAAATTTTTGTAAAACAGCAAAAACACACATTTCTAGAACGATGAAATAGCTGGGATTTTTATTGAACTTAGTCAGATAGTTACTTGTTTGATATGTGTTATTTGTTATAATATAATTGTTTTTGTTTTCACAATATAACTGCTCAAAGTGAAATTGGACCTTTGTGCCCCGCTCTATCCTATATATAAAAACTGGTTGTAATTGTAAGGGGAGTAATAAAAAAGTGCATAGTTTTTAATATTAAGCTAGCAGGAACGCTTTTTGCTTTAGAAGACAAAAGTTAAATAAAGCTAGTATTTGATTAAACTGAACATGTACTAAATTACACCATATATTTTTAACAAAATAATGTGAAATAAAATTTTTTTGAAGAATTGCCCGGCCTGCGAATAATATGGTATATTCTTTGAAGCAAAAAAAAATTGAAAGCAAAATCAATTTGGGCGAGAATTCAGATGAAAACGCGTAGGTTCAAAGTTTGAAAGTTCGTGATTTTGTCGTATTATATTCAACAAACATTTTGAAATGGTTTTTCAACTTTTACCAAACATGAATTGACATCATATTTGTCAAAATATGCCTCATTCGTCTACGAATACCTACTTAAACTAATGAGTAGTCAACTAATAAGTACTCTTGGTTTTAACATTTTTACAAGTTCATCATTTTGGACGGTGTTTTGAAATTTTAAGTCAAGTGATATTACAATGTGTGTTAGTTTTGTATCTAAGACTGTTGCATATAAATAGTACGTCAAGGAACAGAATTAATTTCAATAAAACACCCACAATTTATAAGATGGTTTTCACTTTTAATCAGGATGTCATTATTTAGGACGCACAGAAGACTCTGCGTAGGAGCTTTTACGAATATCACGCGGAAGATGAAAATTAGTCCAATTTAGATCATATTATCTTGTATAAAAATTTTCATCAGTACAATTATTTTGAATAATCACATTAATAAATTGTAGATACTATTACAATTAAATATTTTTTAAATAATTGCGATCATTGTTCATATAATAATATTGTACAATGTAGGAAACTCATCTCTTTGTTACGTACTTTATGATGTTTAGTTTTCTTTTTCATTTTTATTTTCTTAATCTGATTTGATACTTTTTTGAAAATCTTTTAAATATTTGGAAATTGGTGCATATATACAAGTTATAATAATACTCAGTTAATAATTTTTGTTATAATTATCTACTGATATTTTTAAAATGGTATTAGAAAAATGATAGAATTAATATTAAGGTACTTATTCAAATATTTCCCAATTTCGTTTAGATAAGCTTGTGTTTTTAATATTATTAATTTAAATTTTAAGCTCCCCTATTCAAAAAATTCATTGATTATATATAATTCTATTTTATCCTTAAAATTATTTTGACATTCGACAAGAAAATACTTTTTCTGCTCCTTGGGCTATTTAAAACAAGTAACAAAGTTTTTGTACAATGATTGTAAAATTATTTTAATGAGTACTTAATAAAAACAAGCGAAGGAAATTGATATAATAGGAACGACTTTATAAACTTTCTTAGAGAACTAAACTTTGAATAAAATTCTTCTGAAATAATAATATTTTTTATCTTCCAGATCTTATTTTAGGTTTAAATAAAGACGATCAATATATTTCAACTTAAGATTTCAAAATATTTGCAAACAAATTTGCTAACCAAAGAAAAATATAAAAGTTTTTTTTATACAGTAATTTTTAAACTTGTCCTGAAATGGACAACAAGTAGAACTGTATAGGGTAAAAATGGCTTTAAAAATACTAAGTCTTCTGATCATTATCATATATAATGATTTTAGCATATTTTAATGCAATATAAATTTCTTGTTTAATTTTGACCAGGTAGTGTTGTGACGTAGTTCTCTGACAAGTGGGTTTTCGTGATCCTTGAGGCGGCTTTTGTAATTGTCTGAATGTGTTCGTGTTTCATCGTTTCTTGTGTTCATGTCGGCATCTTTATGTATTAACCAATTCGGTACATATTTTGGGGTATCACATTTTTTTTTTAAATAATTTATTTTGGCATTTTTAAATTTTTCACGTTTGATTCAGAAGCTCATCCCTTTAGTTGTATACCGTATGTCCAAATTGCCTTAATGATAGCTTTGTACAAATAAATTTTGTGTGTCAAGTTTTGAATACAAAATATAAAAGTGATAAATTGATGGCTATAAATATACATGAAATGTAATTCAAATTTAGTAAGTTCGATTTTCTTACATATTTTTTGTACAAGACATATAATATAATATTACAGTTGCAGTGTACAATTGAAAATTTTTACATTTTAGCAAGAAAATGATTGTTCTTAACTAAAAATCATCTTATGATTTCTATTTTATTTATTCTTGATAAAATAAAAGTATTCTTTCTATATCGATCTAAAGAAGCGCCTTTATATTTCCGATCGCCTAATAGGAATATATGAGCCGACGTGGTCTGCAAATACTCCGCAATGTATCGGAAAATAATTGTTTTTCCTTTCTCGAGAATCCAGCTGCGCTGTGAAAAATAGTTTAATTATTTTCCTTATCAGTCTTCATTATTACTGACTGTATTCCACAGACACTTTTATTCATTCCTGATCGATAATTTATGTCTATTTGTTCGCATTGATATTACCAGACGATGTAATAAAATTACTCTTCTCTGAATTTATGTGAAGATGGAATTATTTCTTTTCAAGATATTATTAATCAGAAAATAGTTTAGGGTTGTCTTAATTTATTTATATTAAATGATAATTTTGAACAACTGTTTATGTGAATAATTATACTACTTTGGAACTAATACAAATGGGAAAGTTACATACATAAAATTCGTATTCATTATATTTCTGGAAATTCAATTAACCAATTTTAATTAAAAAATATGTACTTATATTTAGATATAAATATATATAGATCAAATTTTTTGTATGAATGATGCACATATCACTGATATATTTTTCAATTACATGCAAAATTATATACAAAACAATTATTTACTTTGCATTACCAAGAAAACAGCAAAGTACACCAGAAGTGTACTTTTGTATTAAATTTAAGATTTATTTAAATTATAGTGAATGTTTTCTCAAACATTATAAATACAAAATAATAAATATTAATTTTGCCACAAGTAATTCATATGTCTTTATTATTATTTATCAATTTTTAAATTTTGTTTATTACCAGTTCAAAAAGAAGGAGGAACGCAGCTAAAACTCGTCATCGATTATTCGAATGATATTCAAGCACTTTTCAAACCTATGAGGTAAGATAATTATTATTTTTATTAATATTAATGATAAATAATAATATATTTATTATATATTTTTTAGGTTTCCCAGAGAGCAACAGACTTTGCCAAATCATTTTTATTTCACTGACTATGAGAGGCATAATGCAGAAATTGCAGCTTTTCATCTAGATAGGTAAGTTAGTAATTAAAAAATTATAGATAATTATATTTATTTTATGCACTATATATAATTATATAGGAATTATATAATATAATTATATATAATATATATAATATATATATATATATATATATATATATATATTTATATAATATATATATATATATATATATATATATATATAATTAAATAATTATATAAATAATATCTTGAGTTTATCATTCCTTCTTTGAAAACTAGAATTGAATAATTGTTATGAAAATAATAGGTGAGAAAAAAACTTATACAAAATTGTGCACTACATATTTTATTTAAATATTTAATAATTAAAACTAGTTGAAAAATAGCTCAATTAACAGATTCATTTTCTAATATGGGTAACTAACTAACTAACTTTAATACACGATTATCTTCGAAACAAATGATTTCATTTCATATCATATGATAGCCAATTTATCTGCAATATTGTTATAAGGATTTATAGAACAATATTGCAGGTAAATAATTTTTGCTTCCTAATTTCCTACAAAGACCTTCCATGGCGTAGTAAAGGGTTAACACCTGTGGACGGGATCTCTGGCAACTTGATATCGTGCAGCAGCGATGTCGTTTTTTATTTAAAATATAGATCAAAAATATGTTTCCAGTTGAAAATAGCCCGTTTCGGGCACTATGGTGTAAAATGGCAGTGGGAAACATCTCACAATATTCTTCTCTGAATCGTGTTGGAGTTTAACAGTTTAACTCACAACCTGAGGGTTTACTCTTTTGGGATTTTGATGAAACTTCGCATGTTGAAAGAGTTGATAGTCAAACTGCACTCCATAAAATATTATAGGCCTATGAGAAGTGATTTAATTATGAAAATTAATAATTCACGGACCTGCCCTAGTGCAGAACTAACATTATATTTTTATTTATTAATTTTCTATATTTTTCTATATACTTTTAAGAAAAGGTACATAATCCGTTCTTTTATAAGTTATTTATTATTCTGTAATTATTATCATTATCACTTCATAAAAAATGTTTTTGACAGAAAAACCTGAAGATGGAACGTATTTTGTTCTGAAACGTCGTAATTAAAGATCAAGTATCTACAAAAAACTAATGGTTTCTTTATTTTTTTGTTAAATATAATTTCAATTTGATCTTGTATTTATTTTTATTATATACAATACTCGAATATCTTATCTAAGTTTAAACTTTTCTTTTGACATCTTGATCTCTTTTATTAGTTCACTAAAAAATTGAATGATAGCATTCCAATTTCCATTCCATATCAAATAGTTTATTAACTTCCCGCAGGGTATAGTAATGGGCCAAAAATCGAAAATGAATTTTTTTGCATATTTTCACGTTTTAGAGGTTTCTGAACATTTTGGCATACCTCAGAAAAAATTGATGTGTGTGCGTGTATGTGTGGATTCAAATTTTCGTCCACGTTTTCGGGAGTACCGTTCAACCGATTTGAATTATTCAATTCCTACTGATGGGGATTGGTGCTGATTAGTTTTTGACTAAGGGGCAGGTTCAGCCTTTACGGAGATAGGGTTGCTCCCAGAGTGCAGAAAATAGAAATCGAGTTTTTGAGAGAACTGAGTATCCGATTTGAATTATCCAAAAAACATTTAATTTGTAATGATTGGGAGAAGTGGTGATTAGTTTTTGGCAAAGACAAGTTCAGCTATCTCGCAGATACGGAGCTAAATGTGTAAAAAATAGCAGTTTTTGAGAGAACGAATCATCCGATTTGAATGATTCGAAAAACTTTATGCTTGTGTTGACTAAACGATTGATTTTTTTTAAATTGAATATCGAAAATAGACAAGAATCTTCATTTTAACTCCGCTTATATTTAAGGGATCATTGAGTTTTGTTTATTTACTTTTCATATATGTTTATATGAACATAATTGTTCAATTTATAAGCTCTTATATTTTGTCTATAAAATACGAATAATGAAGGTTACAGTATTCATAATATATTTGAAAACATTTAATGTTCTTTGAATATTTTATTTAGTTATTATGCAATGAATATTTGTGTAGTATTTTTAATTTGTATTTGAAGTATATGTTACTACTGCATAATTATCTCTAACTGTAAATTATATAGTTGAAATTATATTATATTAAAACCGACTGCTGAAAATATAATTTGCCTGCGCTTTTGTGTAATATATAATAATTCACAATGAAGAATTAGCTTATAGCAAAAGGCACGCATCAGTCATATATGTCAAAAAGTTACCAAGCCGTGATATTGTCTGATTAGACCGATTAGAGCAATTTCGTATTCTTTGAAGCTACGCACTGCATCCTGTTGATGAACAGAATTAATTTAATATTTATTAAAGAACTGTGTCACATTGGATTTTATTAATTGTAGGCGTTCTATATATTCTAAACTAAACCATAAATCCAACAATGAAATATAGTCAGTAATCACATAATACAATATAATGGCAAAAATAAAAAAAATAAAAATGAATTATTGGTATATTATAGGAATGGAAACACATAACGCACATAACGCATGAATAAAAATTCATTCACACATTTAGCTGATTTTCTTAAATTCTATTTTGACCTTTTAAAATTGTCAAAGTTTTCTCATACAACGGCCACACCGATTTCAAAATTTTTAAATTCATTCGATCAAACTCGATAACAGAAACTTTCTTAATCTCGATAACAATAGTCTTTCTTTAAAATGGAGTCGAACTACAAAAAATATAGATAGCACAGAGATATGCAAAATATATATTGTAATTGAAAAAAAAGTAATGAGTGAAATGCAAAATTTTCATCTGCATTTATACAAAGGCCCTGTACCATTTGAGAATTTAAAACGCGTTTGAAAGATTTTGTGTTGATTAGTAAAGATCGATCGGGTCGTTTTTTCGTAATTATATTTAAAATAAAATTTTGGCGTTTTTAACTAAATGTAACACGCCAATAAAATTTATGGTCTAAATGAACATCGTAAAATATTATAGTCCTACGAAAATCAGTTGAAATAAAACAAAGCCTACTTTAACAGGTAATATAATGCCATCCATTAATCATGTGATTGATTTCTAAGAAATTTTAGAAATTTCTCACCCTTGGTAATATGTGGTGATATTTGGAATTGTCCCCCTTTTCCCACCAAACATTACCTTGTATATTAGTACCTTGAAAAAACGTAAAATATTTGATTTTTTTTTTGATAAATTTTGGATTTTCTCAAATTTGGGTAAGAAATAAATACACTATCTTACCTACTTCAACTTATAGATTAAAATGTAATCTGATTGTTCAAACAAGCTGTAAGCAAAAATAAAAAAATATCTTACTAGACCCGCCTCTCACACGTGATATTTCGTGATATTTTATCAGCCCCCCTTCCCCCCTGTAGGCATCCCCTGATTAATGCACGCCCCCTAACAGATATTATAAGTTTGTTCGAAAGATATTGTTTTGTAATTGCATTAATTAGTTTTAGTGAAAGTGAAGAGTTTATTTTCGAAATTGCTAGTTGGCCATTTTCTAAATCAATTCTTGTTGATTCAGTCGATTTTTTGCTAGTTGATTGCTCATATTTTAAAAAATTAATTTACATGTATCATGTTTTTACCTTAAGGCAAATTTCCACTAACACTTATTTTAAATGTGAGTCACTATTATCAGTGGTGTTGTGCTAATATTTTCTTTGCCGGAACGCTAAAATTTAAAATCCGGTTTATAAACCGGTTCAAGAAAATTGATATATTTCGATAAGAACTCACAAATCTAATATATTGACTTCTTAAATAATTAACTCTATTATATACAGCTAGTCTATACATTAAATTGTACAAGTATGAGGGAATCATTGAGTACATAATTTATATTCTTTAATAACATTAATTATATTTATTGTGGTATTATTTGTATTCATTAATACTTACAGGTATTTCTTATGGTCTAAAAGTACTCGAGATTTATTATAATACTTTATAAGACTTAGCCTAATAATACGATAGATAACCTATTACCTATCTTACTATACTATATTATTGTATATCATAGGTAGATATCTATTATCAATCATACCGTCATTAACTTATTATATACCTACATACTTTTTACTTCTTATAAATACTGCTGTCTAATTTATATATTTACCTATATTAAATAGGTTTACCTTACGCCCTATGTATTTTTTTATTATCTCTACCTATCTATTGTCTATACCGGGATTTGAACCGGAGACCTCCGCGTGGCAGTCGCGCGCCTTAACCACTACCCTATCGGGTATCCCCACCAATAATATAATATGGGACGCACTGTTGTTACCGCGGGTCATTTTCTAATTAATTAGATAATTAATACTAAGGTGACGCGACGACATGCGAAAAAAGTCGGTTGATTGTAGCGTTACGGTGGTGTAGTGGATAAGGTCGCCGCGTATCACGCGGCGGACCCGGGTTCGATTCTCGGTAGGGTTAATGTAGCGTGTAAGGAAAATTATAGGTAATAGGATATATAGTAGATATAGGTTAGGTGTATTCGGTATACAATGTAGGGATTTGAGAGTATATGATGAAATATAGCGTATAGATGTAAGGCGTGTAGTATAGAATGTAACGTATAGGCATACGTAAGGCTATAAAAATACACGAGTAGGAACCTATGATGTAGGTGTTTAGCGTATAAGAAATGCGAATGAATATAAGATTTAATTTATAAATATTATTTTTTCTATAAGAATTTTTATCTCGGTATTAAATATCTAAAATATCCAAAATATCCGTTAAGGCATTGATTACACCTTACTGCTGCCTTTGCCGTTATCACTTCAGAGAAAATTAATTACTACACTTTTAAACGATTGTTTGCACTGTGCGACAATAGACATAGAACTATAAATTTTATTAAATGTTTGACTAACTTGTGCGAGCTGATTTTCTTAAGATGTTCTTAGTCTCGCAACTTACTGAATTCTAAAAATTCTAAATTTAAAAAATATAATATAAAAATTATTAT